ATTCCCAAACTGAAATGCAAAATTGGGAAAATGTATATTTTTCGGTGGTGCGCTGACATCTACTGGCAAACATATGAAGTGCGGCAGATGGAGTTCAGATATGAAAAATATTAAAAGGAGAAGTATGAGGGGGGTGATCTCCAGTCACCCTCATAGTTCTAGCCGACGTGTGACAATTAAACTCTCACAGGTCGGCTCAGTAGATCGGGAGGTGAGCGAACACATACCGTCGCTCGCTCACTTCTCGATCCTGTCCCGGCAGAGAGCTGTGACTGTCACTCACGGCTCCCTGCAGGGATTCCCATCCTCCCCGTGCCGATCCTCCACCGCTGACTTGAGGAACGGACGGGGGAGGGGGCGGGTACAGCCTCTAGATAGGAGGAGCCAGCTGTCACTCACGCAGCTGGGTGGATACAGACAGTAATGTCGGGATCCGCTCCGGCTGCGGCGTCTCAGTATACCGCGAGCTGTAGCTCCCTATATACTGAGCCTAGGGTGAGGGGAGGACGCTAGTTTATATATCCTGTGACCCCGAGGAGAACTATGGGGAAAACACTGACCTCATAGTTCTCCTTTAACCCCAATAAACCCCCTTTCCCCCTTCTAACCCCGGCTATTTGTTTTCTTGTTACAGCGAGCACGAGAGCCTTTTCTTTATATTACTTTCATGCAATGGAGCTTCCGTCAAGAAAAGAAAACAAACAACAACTTCACCGAGTTGGGAAATTAGCGTTGTGACTAAAAGAAAAATGTCCCTGAGGCCTTGTTCACAGCGAGCGCGGAGCAGGTGCAGATCCGTAAGGGGGAAGACAGGCCGACCTGCACCGTGAACCAATCAGAAGTACAAACCAAAACATAATGAAACAAGTGTGCGGCAAAATATTAAGGAACGCAGATTAGAAGACAAAGTCACCTCTGTGGTATGTAAAACATATGCTGGGGGGGCGGCTTGTACAACACCCCGCTGTATGCCGGCCACAGACCTCCCAGGATCCGGAATAGAGAGCTTTTCCCGCAGCCGTTGGGCCCGGTGATCAGCAGGTGCATCCCCTCCTCCACCTGTAACAGAACGCATGTCACACAATGAAAGAGAAATATAAAATGGCCATAATAGGGGGGGAAAGCTGCATCCAGAAACCAATCAATGACGCACACAGACAGGGGGGGGCTTCCAGCTCAGGTCTTCCAATATTCAATGTCAGTGTAACACATGAGCTCGTCCTGCTGCCATCGGCCCCTGTGATGATGGGCGTCAATGGGCAAACGCAGAGCGCTCCCACATCAGCCTGAGATCGTTAAGAGTTCAATACAGGTACTCATGAGCTGCTTCAGTGGCTTTGGCATTCCCATACACTTGTATAGGGAGAGAAGCAAAACAAAAGCCCGTTTACCCCGGTCCTTAACCAGTTGACATCCGCGGTGTTACACCCCCTTCCCATCCCGGCCATTTTTCAGTGTTCAGCGCTGCGGTACTTTGACTGACATTTATTCCGTCACGCAGCGCTGTACTGAAATTAATTTTTTACCCTTTTTTGGGGACAGATAGAGCTTTCTTTTGGTGGTATTTATTCACCACTGGGGGTTTTATTTTTTACTATATGAAGGAAAATTTACAGAATTTAAAAAAAAAAAAAAAA